ATGTTATAGGTATTGGATGCCAAATCTCCAATGCTATTTTGTTAATTAGTTTAGCTTTAATAAATTCAATTCTCTTTATATTCGCAATTTCGCTAAATCATTTTATTTCTTCACTTATTTTTGTTCACCACTTATATCTTGAAAAACACGATTGTTAGCTTTTGGATTTATGAATTGGGTTTTTCTTATTCGAGTCTGATAATGACTTGATTCACCAGTAAACCAGGACATGTACGAAGTTCTTGGGTTTTACTTTCAGAATACCCTATTAGCTTACGATTCTCTCTTGGATTAAGTTGAAAACTTCAGGCTTTAATCGTAATATTTGCTCTTCATCATAAATCTCGATTAATCGATAAATTAGATACCGTCAGGCAGACCAAATAGGCGCAAACATTTTTCTAGCTGCAAGTCTTAGTAAAGATCTATTAAAACAAATTTCAGTACGAAAGTTAATAATTGCTTGCAAATAAAGAAAGATTTGTTCATACTTTAATTTATATATAGGATCTGTTTGTTCTTGGGCCCATTTTAAATAACCTTTAACAGAAAGATTTTTTTTATACATAATATATGGCTACATCAATTCAGATGCCATTGCATGCCTGTATATATTACATACTGAATCTTACGATTTGTGATGATCTGAACATTTTTTGAAGAACTGAAGTTGATTTTCAGTTCAATACCCTTGACAATGAGCAAAATCTCTCATATCAATATTCCAATTCAACTCGACAAATGCTTTTAACATATTCATTACTTCATGAAGAGAAATTAATATAAGCCAAGAAAAATCCTTTTTCATTTTTAGTATATGATAATACGGTACTCTATCATACATAACCGTGATCTATTTACACCTATTGTCTTTAACTCCAGATACTTTTTTGATATGCTCAAGAACTTTTCGAACATTAGCGATCGAATTGGGATTAATTTCTATTGGATCAGGAATAAACATTTGTGGTTCATGAACCTTTAGAACCGATCCTTGCGTATTTAATTCTTTAAACTTATAAGAACAAACAACTAGAGGCTTGTCAGTAGTATTTTTAATATTAGATTATTCAATAAATTGTTGATTTATTTCACTAATTGTAGGTAATTTATTATAACAATTAGAACAAACCTGCTTCTTATTATCGATATCGGAGACTTTACCAAAATGGCATTTTTTCATATTTCCTATCTGGCTTTGAGAGTTTACCAAGTCGTTAATCGCATTTGTTTCCTGATTTTTCTCAAGAAGAAGTTCTTTTAAAATAACTAAAAGATAGTTAGTAAGTTCTTTATGAATTGCATCTTTCATACCCAATGTTAAGTAGAATAATTCTTCATATTGTTTTTGGATAGGTTTGGAATATAGCCAGGGATTCGTAGTCTGAATATTGTTGCTTTGATCATAATTAAAGGCAACAAAACTCGTAATGATATGGAATATAACCGTATTATGTCCACGATTCAAATAATTTTTTTGGCCTTTTTGCTCATTGTCGAAAGCCAAAAATAGAAGACCGTCAGGAAGTGGTAGCTGTTCTATAGTTAAATTTTCTAGCCAGTTAGTAAATTTTGAATAGCTACTAGAACTAATAATATGATTGTCAATATCCACAATAATTTTTGACCTTGCTAATGAATACTTAATAGCCAAAGCAGTCAAATTGATTGCAGAAATATATTTCAAATGCCTTGATCCATATATAGCATTAACGGCTACGGCATATTTAAAAAGCTTTTCTCCATGTTGTTGTTCATTTTCATTATGAGTAAGAGTTTCTATAAACTTCACAACAACTGGATTTCATTCTGCAAGCCATTTGAAAGGAGAATATTCCAGAAGACTATCCAATAAAAATCGTCCTGGATTTTTCACCAAACTTTCTATATCTTTATACAAATTATTTTGTTCCTTTTTGGCAATTTCTATAATAGACTTAATGCGATCTTGTTGGTTAGTAAATCTTTCGCATAACTTTTTTTTTAATGCTTTATTTTCAGCTAACAATTGTGTATTAGCATTTTCTAGCTTACTAATTTGTTCTAAAAGAATTTCATATTTTAGATCCGGCAAAGATACTTGAACTCCAAAGTCAACGGTCAGCAAAGATACTTGAACTCCAACATTGATAGTTGACAAAGATACTTGAACTCCAAAGTCGATAGAAGTTGGTTCAACTTGTACGCCAAAATCAGCAAAATTTTTTTCATTATTGTTAAAGAGTTTTAATCTTTTTCTTTTGTTCTCATCTAAATTTAAAAAACCTGATTCGTTTGTTAATTGTTTAATAAAAGAAGGTTTGGTGATGATCTGGTTATAATGCCGTTCACATAAAAAGTAATTTTTAAGTGATTTAATGAATAGGGTAAATTCAGGAAAATACTTAGCCAATTCTGTTAGTTTTTTTGTTGCTGCATTAGCTGATGCATTTCGCTACTGTTGTTTTTCTTCAGTTTTATATTTTTCTATATGATTTAGTAAACTACTTTCTGGGTACTTTGTAGCAAAAATAGTAAAGATACAGGGTAGTGTTTTGGCTTCTACTTTTAAACTCATTGGTTATAATCTATAAAATTATATAATTTTAAGCTTTAATTTAAGGAAAACTGATTTATTAAGGCTTTGGGATCCTCACAGATTCTGAAAGTACGTGTTGGAAAATATGTATTTTGATAGTTAGACTTGTCGTACTGGATCGACGAAAGGTCACAACTTTTTTTAAAAAAAGATTACTAAGCACCATTCACAATTATTAAGCACAAATCACATGCTTATGCATAATTATAGACTATTCTAGAAATGATCTTCGAATTTTAAAAAATCCCTGACTGTATTTAGAGACTCAAAGATGATTAACTTAGTATGAAAAAAGTTTTTCTTAGACAATCACTAGAAAATTTTTACTTTTGCATCTATAGTAATTTAGATATAGAACCACGTCATGTTTCACTATGAACATTCTTCAGTTCACTGGAGAATCGTCAATTAAAATTTTAAAATTCTTGAGAATTTATATCTAAAATTATCAAATTTAACTAAAATTTTCATATTATATTATAGTTTGATATGTAGGAATAGGATATTGTGTAGGTGAAATATTTTTAAATTTTAGAATACTTTAGAATTTTATAATTTTGGTTTGTATTAGTATCAAATTACTATAATGTAGGCCTGTGCAGTAGATTCAAAAATCTTCGATTTGTCTATCTCTAGTGATATGTATTTTATTTTTGATAATAAAAATTTTATACAAATTTATTTAATTTCTAAAAAATATATATAGTATATAACTAGTTTATATTGGATATTGATGCTATGATTTAAAAATATAAATTTATATGACTTAGTATAATTTAATTTCTAATTATTTTTATATTTGGTCAGGATTGCAATAAATTAAATTACAAACTTATGTTCTTATAATAATATTCTTCAAAACAATCAGCAAAACTTAAATACTAATTTATTAAAAGTTCTTACAATGTTGTATTTTAACAAAACAAAAGAATGACCCTATAAAATTTTTCAAATTTAAATCAAAATTGGATTAATATATTTGTAACCAGAGGTTACAGATAAATTTTTGTAACCATTATATTAAAATTTGAAGATCAGGTATAACGTGAGAATCAAAACAATATTTTTGCTTTGAAGTTAAAGTCAGTGTTAGCCCGAGATTAAGGTCAGAGCAGAGTATAGTTTATACCAAAATTTTGCAAGGAATTTTTTTTGTTAGAATGCGAAGGATAGTTTCATAAGCAAAATTTTGAGTTATTAGCGATTTCTTTAAAAAAACTAGTATTTGTTTTGATTTTACGTTACACCTGATCTTGAAATTTGATTGGCTTTACAGGTTGCAGTTACAATAACCAGGGTTACAAATTTATTAATCTATCAAAATTTATTAAATTAAATCTAAATTTATCTAAAATTTATTAAATTTAATCAAAATTTATCTAAAATTTATTAAATTTAAACTAAATTTAGCTTAAATTTTTTGTTGTTATTAGAAAAAATTTTGAGTTTTTAAAACTAAAATTTTACAGGTCCCTGACAATTGATCATATACTAAATTAAACTTCAAAAATTTTTTGAATATTCATTCTAAACTATCATATAATTATCTAGAGTACAATCTGATACATGTTTTTAGATTATACCAGAAATAATTTGGATAATCCAAACCAAACTATATGATAATTATAGATTAAGTAGAAATCAATTTGATTATGATAGTCTGAAAATTAATCATTTGAATTTTGCAAGATTCGACCTGAATTACTTTATGAAAAATTTGTTTATCAAGTATATAAATCAAAGTTAAGAATTTTGAACAATTTAGTTATATAGTGGTATATATAAAATTTTACTTTTTTTGCTATTACAAGATTTTGAAATAGGAGCTAAAAACACAAATATAAAACTAAAGAATCTATTTAACAAATTGGTATTTGCTAACTAGAATATATTCTATATGATTGTAGTATTTATATAGAACTAACTAATATAAAAAAACTAAACTAATTGTATTTTGGCTTGTACTAAAATATAAAAATTATATGTATATAATATTTTGTTACTAAATAGCATATCTTATAGTTCCTTTATTATTCTAACTTTAAATATATATTCTATTTTAAAATATAACAAATTGTAAATTTCATATATTCTTGCTATTTTTATTTATCTACTAATCTGGATAATTTACAAACCCCCGAACAGCAAGCCCAAATCCTCCAACCTACCAACTCACCTTCTAATGCTCCTGGTTCTTCTAAATAACCATTTTATTAAACAATCTCTTTAATTTTAGCAGCATTTTTTCCTTCTCCTAAATAAAACCTCACAACCTTCTTTTACCTGCTTAATTTTGAAATATATAAATATATTGTTTAAATCTTTAATACTATAGAGCAGTATTTCTAAATAGAGAAAATTTCTTATATTGCTATATCTTTGTTGTAGTCATATTACAGAGTAGCCAAATATAGAAGTAGTAAATAATGCTAATTTTTTGACAGAAAGTAGCCAAATTTTTTACTTTTTGTTAAAATTTTGGGTTTGAAAATATCAAAACAGTGAAAAAAAATAAGTTGTAGTTTTATGAGTTTTTAACCAAAAAAGTTGGTTTAAGAATTTTTTATAGCCTTCTATCTCTAACTAACTTAAGTTTGCTTTCTATTTGCTATTTCTAAAAACTTTTTTGATTTGAATACCAAATACACAAAGAAGTTCACCTAAAAAAAAATATAGAAGAAAGTTTAATCTTTATGTAAACTATCTAAAATATTTACTTTTTAGTATATAGTATTTAAAGACTTCATTAATAATATCTAGTCTTGAGATTTCATCTTGCTTTTAGTAACTAGTTAGTACAAGTAATTATTAGAAAGAGTTTTTTTAACTAGCTTTTAGTTTTTAAGTAAATTTATCAGTATAAAAAATTATATATAATTTTAATTTTTATAAATTTTAAAATTTATTAATTAACAATTATAAAAAAATTAAAACTTTTCCAAACAATCTTTTGAACAATACAACAAAAAACTGAACTATAGAAAAATACTATAGAAAAGTTCAAGATATATACTATTTTAGTTCTGTTTTTGAGTAAATAGTTGTTAACAAAGCCTAAAGATATAAAATACCAAAAAGCAGGTATAACTTGAGCAGTTTTTCTTGAAGTCAAGTTTTTGTTTTTTAGTAGACTTCTCAAGATATTTGGTATTCAAACCAAAAGATTTATTCTAAAAACTGAACTTATCTCTAAACAGGTTGCTGTTAATGAAGCTTGAAAAATATAAAATACTGAGAAGCAGGTATAATTTAAATAATTTTTTTTGAGTCAAGCTTTCTTGTACTAGTAAACTTTTTAGGATATTTAGCATCTAAACTAGAAAGTTTATTCTAAAAGCAAGTAGTAGAATAGCTCTTACTGAGATAGTATAATTTTGAAGAATTAATTATATGATTATAAAACTTATAGAAGAACTTTATATATTCTTATTGGCCTTCCACTTTTTTTTCAAGAAAAATTTTATAAAAAAATATATATTTAGCTTATCTCTTCAAAAGATTAATATATTGTTTATTTACCAAATTAGACAATATTTTTATTTATTACTTGTTATAACAAATACATAGATTTATATAGAACGTGAATCTATGATTACATATCTCAAATGTGATGATCTAAACAATTAATGCTCTGAGCCTATTAGTATGATTTTCTAACTTCTCTATAGTACCAATATTAAAGAAGTTTTTTTTTTCTATTTGTTAGTTTTTACTTAAACATATTAATTATATAAATTAGTATAAAGAATAGTTTAAATAATAATATATAATTTTTACAAAGCTGAGGGTGTGGCGACTTAGTGAAGTGGTGAAGTTGTCGCACTCCAAGCGGTTGAGTACAAGTTCAATTCCCACTAGAGACGAAAATTGAATTTTGAAAAACAGATTCGGTAACTAACGCCATGGCCGGGAAAACTCGAGACCCTGTAATTGTGGTTGTACCAATTCATTGAAACTGGAAAATCTTGGGGCCTTTGTATAATAGAGGGGTTATACGAATATGCACCAAATTGTAGAAAGCCACAGGGCCGATACGGTGGTGGGGCACTCGCTTGGCAAGTTCCAAGTAGAGAGGTAGCATAGATCTTTGACGGTACTATGTAAAAAGGATTATTATCGAAAGAACTAGCAAAACTGAACGGGACGAAGTGTTTGGCAGCATTCCACCAACCAGGCCGCCGGAAGAGTAACCAGAGGAAAAGGACCCAACCATGGGGACCAGGGGCAGGTCATAGCCCTTCCGGGCCATCTGGATTGGTAGTTTGGGGAG